GCATTTTTTTTTTTTTTTTTTTTTTTTTTTTTTTTTTTGGGGGAAAAAAAAAAACTTTTTGTTTTTTTAAAAAAAAAAAAAAAAAAAAAAAAACAGAAATACGACCAAATATATATGTTCATTATTGAATCTCCATTTGTTCACAAACGAATAAAAGGAAGAAACAAATTAGGGAACGCCTTTGTGCCGTCTTTCTTAACAGCCGAAAGAACAAAATATGTTTGGAGCATAGAGGGTGGAGTGGGGGAACAATTCGTCGACTCCCCTTTTTGTGTTTATTCTTTTTTACATGTTGATAATGTTTCCTTTGTGGTTTAACCTTTAAGAGGAAGGCTTCCTTGGACAACGTCGTCTTGGCACACGTCACCTTGGACTGCTTCCATTGGGCCCCCCCGTCTCTACGCCAGGGGTTGCGCGCCGTGCAGAACGATAAAAGTGACAACGAACGTGCATGTGAACACAGGAAGGATCCCTTGTGCCGGAAGACTAAACAGGCATTTAAAGAAAAAAAATGTAAACGCATTGAAGCACATTTCAAAATTCTCACATTGGCTAATTACCTTAAGTGAGTCACCCGTTTGAATTTTACCCTATATAAAAGCAGAAAAAAGGACTTTGCTGGAAATATAAATATATTTCCCTCCCCTCGCGTACACGCCTCTGCCCGTCTGATAATACTTGGCACGACCTTCTAATCTACTTGTCCTTTTATCGTTAGGACGGCGCGACGATTGCCGCGCAAAAAGGGAAGCATAAAGGGGGGTTGGGCGGGGTAAAAGTACCTTCCGCACAAATGAACAATTAAAAAGTTACGCCAGAAGTAAAATATTAAAAACTGGTAACCCACAAAAAGGGCATGCATAAAGATAACATCACAGGTATTGCACGTGTACAAAAATAAAAAATATATTTATATATGTACGTGATGCCGGTCTCCCTCACGCACAAGCATATATTTTTTATGGTTTCTCCGCTATGGGGAGCGGCCAAATGGGGTAATATATTATTATGGCCCCACTAGATACGATACGCCTGCGTATTTTTTTTTTTTTTTTTCAACCTTTTTTTGTACGTTCGTCCAATGCTGCACCCTTACTTTTTCCCATTCAAAAAAAAAAAAAAAAAAAAAAAAAAAAAAAAAAAAAATTGATAAAACTAAAGTGCTGAAATGTCAGACACGAACAAAGTGTGCATTGTTCTAGTCCACAGTGGAGGA